GCAGGGTTAGCCGAATGTTGTGCTGCTGCTGTGAGGAAAGCGGTTGTAATACAAACTACTATGTTTCTCCTCCATTAAAGAGAGAGAGAGAGAGAGAGAGAGAGAGAGAGAGAGTGTGTGTGTGAGCAAGCATGTTATTGACTGCGTGCACTGTGTGTGTTCATGTATGTGTGATGTATCTGTGAACAGAACGATGGAAGCAGCTTGTGATTATGCAGCTCTTATCTCGTATTCAAAGCGGGGATCTGCCAGGCTGCCGTGCATAGTGACAAACTTAATATTGGGACATGAAACTGGTTCACATACCCTCCCTGTAATGACAGAGCCCTAAGCAGTGTGTTGTCTGTTTTGTTTAGGTTTTTTTTTGGTCTCTCACTGTGATTGACACCATGCTTTGTCACTCCAAAATAAAACTCCATGGTTGTGTTTTTACCTCAGGTTCAGTTACAACTGTTTTCTGTCTCTGTATTTCAGTTGTGCATCATCGGCCTGAAACAAACTGAAGTTGCACGGTGAAGGTGTTGATAATTATATCCCTAAAGACATCATGTACCTGGTACTTGAGAGTGATCATTTCCTCTGTTGATGACCCAGAATTGGATTGAGCCAGGAAACAGTGTCTTACACAGCACAGTTCCACCAGTGTTATCCTTCTAAAGGCTGAAATATCCTCACTTAGAGCAAGGTCGGAGCATAGGGTGGATTTGTGTGTGTGTGTGTGTGTGTGTGTGTGTGTGTGTGTGTGTGTGTGTGTGTGTGTGTGTGTGCCACGGTGGTTATTTTTTCCAATTACAGCTGAACTTCTCCCTCTCTTCTGTTGCTGACCACCCTGAGGTGACTGATTCAGGAGTGAGCAGAGATAATGGTAGAAGTAGAATTACTGTAGGTGAAATTTGGAGAAAAGACAGAGTAAAAATATGCCTATTTTAATAGTCCTGCACACCTGGCCGGTTTCTATTTAAAGTGATGTGACTGACTGTGTCTGATTGTTAGTTTTAAAAAGAAACAAAAACTAGGTGTTGCGGACCCCGTCACTAAGACCTTTTCACCAGATTTCAGACATATTAAACTTTCTATCTATTTTGACCTTTACAGTCTCTAGTTACAGTGTTCTGTTTGAACTATATGTGAATCATTCAAAACAGTCCACACCAAAGGATATTATGGCAATAAGCTGTATTTATCATCCCATTCCCAGTGGGACCAAGCCTTTGTTGACCAGTCTTGACCTCTGGACAGGCTGGAGCAGCCCATATTTATCTCAGCCTGGCCCCTGGCCCCATTAAATACTGATGGAGGGAGGAATAGCCGCATGTTCTGGTGAAATAAAAGCGTTATCACTGAATGATGACTGCTGGAGCCACGCTTTCCTTCTGTGGAGCCTTGATTTTGGACATTTATGTTGGCCACATGTGAGAACAGCTGGGGGTTGTTTGGTGTATGGATCGAAGGTTGTAGAATTATGGGCTTTTACAGGTCCGCCGAGGCAGCTTGTCAGGATCTGGTCTGCAGCAGAGAGATTGGTGCTTCTTGAAGAATATTGAATATGCGTGTGTGTGTGTGTGTGTGTGTGTGTGTTTGTGTGTGTAAATCTGGGCAACGTTATGCATTTTGCATTGCACTGTGAGTCATTTGGGAACTGTATACATTATTTGTTGAGAGAGAAACATTGTCAAGCAAGATTTAACTCAAGTTGCTTTTGTGAGAATAACGTTTTTTTTGCAGCTGGAAGTACAGTTATTAGAGAAATGAGAGAAGTTTGAAGCATTTCCCGTTGCACTTGACAGGCTTCGTCATGACTCTGCAGCGGATCAATAATACATATGGGACTAGACCCAATGAATCACAACCGTTGTATCATCTGTGGCAAAGCTGACCTCACTCTGACTCATCTTCATCAACACCTGCCATCTCTCTTGTCATAAAAAATTCACATTACCTAGTGCACATGAATAGAGACTGTGTGCACTCATGACCCAAATTGAAGGCGGTGTCACACTGGCCTTGACTGTCTCAGTGCGACGCTCTCAGCTAATGCTCAAATGGAAGCTAACGGGAATGCTTTTTAAGCCCACACAGTGACAGACGATTAGATTAGCTGTAATTGAGACGTGTGCTCTAGCTGGAGCTGTTATGCCAGCACTCATCTGCTCTGATTGAGAGAGCTCGGCTCAAGACAGTGATGCTGCACAGAAAACGTGGAGATGTCAAAGCATCTTTAATAATAATAATGATAATAATAATAATACTACATTTTATTTATATAGCGCTTTTCAAGGTACTCAAAGACACTTTACATGAAAAAAAGATCATATAAACATACTAGAAAAAATACATACAACACACCACAATGTTACATTTTAAAAGCAGCTCTGAAAAGGTGAGTTTTGATTAGGGATTTGGATGTGGACAGATTGGTGCAGTCGCTGATGCTCTGTCGCCGCAGGCCCGGTGCTTGGTGCTGAGTGGTGGAGACAGGAGGTTGGCATCAGATGAGCGGAGGCTGCCGGAGGGGGTGTGGTGGTGGAAGGGCTTTGTAAGTGAGGAGAAGGACGTTGAACTGGATTCGTTGTGGGACAGGGAGCCAGTGGACTTTCTGGAGGACAGGGGTGATGTGGGAGCGGGAGTGGATGAGCAGGAGAGCAGCAGAGTTCTGGACATATTGGAGTTCATTTAGGACTTTGGATGATGAGCCGTAGAGAATGCTGTTGGGGTAGTGTTTGTACCATTAGTAAAGATAATTAAATTAAGCATAAAACTTTTTTAAATGGCATTCTTTATGGATGGGTGTAATGGCTAATAAATCATGCTTTACTTTATTCTTTGGTTTGGTTTGCCAGATTGTGAAAAATCCATTTGGCAGGGCAATATCCTTCTGCAGCATCTTTATTAGACTATTAGAAAGTGAGCAAGTCATAAAGGGTATTGGGATCATTAGAGGCTTATCGATACATTATTAAGTATTTATTAATGTTCACAAAACAATCTTTACCGCAACGTCCAACTGCTTTAGAGTTTCCCCAACTGACAGGGAAGTCAAATTTCTAATGGAGCTGTGGAGTGGGCAAGTTGCGATGTGGGTAATGTAGGCACCAGGGTTTGACAAGGTAGAGGAATGCTTGAAATAAATAAATAAAAAAAAAACATCTCTTTCTGGTTCTGCTGCATTGATGTTGATCGTTTTGTGAACCGTCCATCGTCAGTCCTTCGATTTGCTCAATTTTGTGGAAAACTATTTTATATGAGCTTCAGAGCAGTGGAGAAAATAGTAGACAGTGGTCCCTGTGTTGAGATTGTTGCATCAACTACAGTTTCCAAGGTCAGATAAAAATGTACAAACAAATTCACCCATCATAAATACTAAACAACGAAACACACACACACATACACACACACACACACACACTAAACAATCCACCGATGCCAAATATCTACTGCACATGCACAAGGAGCATTCCAGACAAGCTGCACATTCCCTGAAAGTAACAACACGTTTTGTGTTAAGTGTAATAACGAAGGCTGGAGGTGGGTTAAATTACACTGAGGAATTATGCGTCTGAGAGTAGAGAGAGAGTAAAAACTGCCAATCAGAGTCATGCACGATTCAGACTAACGATGTATTCTGGCCCTTTGTGTTATAAAGAGAATAGCGCCATCCCTTGCCCCCACAGCTACAACAGCAATATAATGTATTACATTAGTCCAACCTCTTGTCTTCATCAGTGTAGCCAAGGGAAATTTCACAAATGTAGATTTACAGGAAGCATATGGAGTGTGCAGACATGCTCTCAATTATACACATTTGTTTTTCTTGCTCTACCTCACACACACACACACACAAACTTAAATAGACAAACTGTTTTCATGTCTTCTTCTCTGACACGCAGAGCTGTAAACAGCATGTCCCTGTAAAGTGATTATGTTTGGTGCCGAGCAGAACGAGCACATGCAGACAGGCAAACAGACAGAGCGTGTGCGCACGGTGTGTCTGTGGCCTACTGATTATCTGTCTGCTTGTCTGTCCGTGTTGATCCATTCTCCCCCTGCGACACGACCACGCCCTCACACTGCTCTCCCGCTGCCACTGCATGTCAGGGTAACAAATGGCCGCCCATCCTCCGGGAGGCTAGCATCATCATCTGTACACAGAGCCGGAGGGAAATGTCAGGAAACATGCATTTATCTAGTCAATCAATGCTAGGTGGCTGCAGAGAGCAGAGCCCGCTGGCGTGTGATGGCTGCTGATGTGACGTTTTGTCGTCTAATTGTTGGGATTTTGAAATACAGCAGCCATCAGTCATTCACGACTGTTTGGTCAATACAGCTTGTAAGATACAAGCACGCCTAGTTATGTCAATATACATGAGAGCAGGTACATGCAATTTGATATGATAGCAAGTTGTCGCCATGTGAGGAGGGATCCACTGGCCCGTGTGCTTTGTGCACGCCTGTAGAGCGATCAATAGGTCCAATGAGCAGGCTCCATCAGATTACGAGCCCCGAGGATAGGCTGTTGATACATGATAAGGCTGTGTAAACTGTCTTGTTTCGTTTCATCACAATAGCCCTCCTGCCACCACTACTGAGGAAATGCCATGTACACACAGCAGTCTTCAATATATGTATGGTCGTTGGCGCTCTCAAAGAAAACAGGCTTATCTTGTTTGACCATAGGTCAAATGCAGAAGCAGTCCTGTTGTGACTGTGCAAAAGGTGTGCTCCATCTCTTGGAGCATACAGGTAGCTTTGCTATTAATGTGCTGCTTCCTTATGAGGTGATATTGCATTTCATGAGTCACCCTCTTTCCCCACGGTGTACGGATCAGAGCAGAGTGTTGTGTTTATGGATGCTGGGATATTGCCGGTGCTGTCCTAAGGGTGTATTGGACATTTGTTATTGCTCCCAAATGTGGCGCGACATTCTTGCTTATCTTGTGTTTATTCTTAGTGTACCCTCTTTCTCTCTGTCTCTGTCAATGTGTGTGTGTGTGCAGCTCCAGAGGCTAAAACGCTCGCTGTCCTTCAAGACCATGATGCGCAGTAAAAGCGTGGAGAACTTCTTCCAAAGGTCCTACAGCGACGCTCGCCTGCCCCCGGATTTCATCACTGACCCGCCGCCTCCTTCTCCCCCTCTGCTGCCTGGCTCTCCTCTCGTCGGTGACCGCTCACCGTCCATTTCTCCATCTCTCAGCCCCAACCCCTCCATTTCCTCCCACTCCCCCTCCCTAAGCCTTTCCCCATCACTGCCCACCAAACCTCCCCGACCTCAGATCACCCACTGTTTTCAGGACCATGTCTTTCGCAAGCCCACCAACTGCCAGCACTGCAAGCACATGATCGTGGGTAAGGTGCTCAGTTTACCCCTCTGGACTCTCTTTGCCTTTTTCAAGCCAAGGTTTAGCTGCAGTTCTCTGGCCACCATGTCTTTGTTTACATGGCTTCTCATCTAGTGCAAACTGGAGACCGTTTTATGGAGAGAACACCACCTATTGTACTAAAGATAATTAAAATGCTACGTAGGGACAATATTTTATCACCACAGCTTGATTTAAGTAAAAGATACAAAGACACTTACCACTCTCATAACTATCCATCAAATATAAGGCTACATCCAGCAACCACTACCTCATAACCCTTTAGTACTGCATGGTACCGGCTCAACTTGACTCGACTCTACTTGCCTACCATCGGGCAAAATTTGAGGATAAGTACCTGGTACGTGGTGCTTTTTTTGGCATCATCTCCGCCGAGGTTCCAATGCGAGCTGAGGCAATACCAAAAGGTGTGAATACGCTGCAGACAACTGATTGGTCAGAGAAAAACGTCACTACTGCGTCATCAACATTCCTCTGTTTGGTATCCCTTCGATATCCTCCATTGTTCATTGAAGTTGAAGATCACATCACGATAGCTTTGTGCGTCTTCGTTATACAAATGGCGCGGCATTGAGAGGTACTATCTGCAGCGGAAGCAGAAGTACCTGGTACCAAAAGCAAGTAGAGTCGAGGCCACGTGGTGGAAAAAAACGCTATTAGCTTAGCACGAAAATTGAAAACAGAAAGAGCTAGCTTCTGTCCAATGGTAATCCGCCTACCAGCGTCACTAAAGCTCAGTAATTAACACATGCTTGTTTTGTTTTTTTAAACATTTTCTTTTTTTAAAAGCTATCCAGTTAAAGTTGTTGCAGAATGAACATAATAAAATCACTTGTTTGAAACTAAATTATCAGCTCATCGTCTGAACCGGACCGGATGAGTTCAATGCAGCTCTCAGTGTTTATAGCTGTGAAGAAACCATTCGATTATTAACGGGCTGCTGTGATGCAAATGTATGAGTACTTTTATGCTTAATTTGCTGCTTACATGAATTGCCAGCCACTGCTAGTTTTTCTGCTAAATCTTCTTCCTGTCACTATGATTGATTACAGACTCCAACCTGCTGTACTGTCTTTTTTTTGCATGCATGCATGCATGCATTGTGGGTTTATTTATGTAATGCATCACCTCGCTCTGGCTGTACTCCTCTGTAGTCCCAAAACACAGTTCAGCCTCCTTGTTAAGCTGATGAAGCAGAATCCATTTTGTCTCTTCAAAGTAAAAGCGGTGTTTCATCGAGCCATGCAATTTGTTTGATTGTTGTTTCTGCTCCATAACAGACCTGTCAATGTAATTCCCATCTACAACAAATCCAGAAATCTGTTATCTTTGGTTTGTGGGATAAAAAGGGACTCAGCCCTTTAATCCTTAAAAACATTCAACAATCAGTAGAGGATATTAATTACTTGACAAATGAAGAGAAAACATCCTAATACTCAGTGGTTTTTATGACTCAACCACTTGAAAAGAGAGATGACTCAATGCCAAATCGATTATGATTGAAATATCTCCAGCTGGTTTCCAATCTCTCCTGACTGTTTTGGAAGAGGAACTGTTGATTATGAAGCTGTGTTAGTTTCCACACCTACAAGCAGTGCCAGCTTGATAAAACTGGGGCAGTGCTTGAATACACTGTCTTACCTGAGCGAAGAAAAACCTGCTCATACGGTCTGAAGGCCACTTCGTTTTGTTAGCGCCTTTCTGCCTGTTGCAGATCCGCAGCCTGCTGTGATTTTCTTTTCGCAGCTGCCTCCGTATCTGCATCCTTTGCTTTCACTCTCCCGTCTCTGTCCCTCTCTGCAGGAAACTCCAAACAAGCTCTGCGGTGTAAAACGTGCAAGATGGCCGCTCACCTCTGGTGTACCTCAGAACTATCGCAGCAGCCATGTCATGGGAAGGTGCGAATACACACACAGAATCATCTTTGATCTTACCCTTATATATAACAGTGGTAGTTTACATCGTAGTCACATATTCAACTTTTTCACTCGTGAATAGTTTTTCTTTAATTTGGCAACATCATTAGTGCTAAGCAATCACTGCTGTGGTGTTTTTGCACTGCACACAAGTGGGCAATAATATTTTAATGTATTTATACACAGAATATATATCATATTAATTTTTGCTTAGATTTACGACCCATTTCTTCTTCTATTCATGTATATAATAAAAAAGGAACTAAATAAAAAGTCACTTCCAGTTCCGACCTGGAAGAACTGCCTGATACCAAAACATCTTAAGAAAATATTCTGTTCTTCCTTAAATTTTCCTCATAAAAAGGAAGAAATATATTAAAGGTCTAGTCCAGCATCCAGCACGTGGTTGGCTTATTTTTAGCAATAAGATCAGAAACAGGTGGAAACAGTTAGCCTGGCTCTTTACAAAGGTAACAAAATCTGCAGACTTCTGCAGCTCACTCATGAACACATTCTTTCTTATTTGTTCAATCTGCACAGAACCCAAAGTGTAAAGAAGACATTTTGCCATTTTAGGGGGAACATATGCTGGATTATTTTTTGGCTCAGAGCAGTCATTTCCTGGAGTCTCCACTGGTTGCCAGGCAACTGCATCCAGCCAAGAAGTAGTGCGATAATAACCCCAGTAAAATGAACCCGTAAACTAGTCCTTTAAGAAATACCCTAAGATGATAAGATTTGGTTTTCAGGCATTTCAAGGCTTCAAGGAGTTAGTTAAATTTTGTTTTGTAAATGTTGCATAAAGTCCTTGAGAATTAAAACCACCATCAATGGAAGCTTATCTTCTATTAAGATGAAGCATAAACTTTTTTAACAGTCACAAAGAGACTGAAAAAGTGCCACAACTAGTGCACTGAGACAGAGAAAACAGAGGATATGCTTTATCCAACAGCACAAGTTTCTCCTCCTCAGTGCAGCCTGACCTCCCACTTCTTCAATTTTCCCCAGACATTTTTAATAGCAACATTATAAAAACACCAGCAACAATAAGAGTTTGGATTGCAGTCATAATGTGAATAACATGAGCAGGAACAGTGTTACCATGGTAACTTTATTGCATACCTGAATAGGTTGGATTTGGAATTGGAATTTTACCTGCACTTGGAATTAATTTGATATTTTTTGTGGCACAGGCTTAAGTACACTGTTAAGGAAGTGGGGAAAAAACAGTTTGAGGAGAAAAAAAATTGAAGCAGCTGCGCACAAATGTTGAATCACTGTTGTGTCATATCTCTGAGGCGGCAGCATGTCATGTAGTTGTATTAAAACACAGTATCAGTGCACACAACCGTCCACTGCATCAACACAAACACTGGAACACTCTTGGCCTGAGGGCAGAGTCGCTCTGACTCAGTGTTTCAGATATATGTGCAGTTTAAGGGAAAGTGCTGACAGAACACAGACACATATGGCAAAGGGCAGAATACTGTTTTCAGTCGATGTGTGTTAAGAGATGTGAAGAGCTGATGTGGCTGAAACAAAGCCTATTTATCACATTACCCTCCCTTTGCAAAGATGAGAATATCCACATTTCCCATTCCCAACATGATAAAAAAAAAAATTGGGTAACCCTCCATTTCTAGACCTGATATCTACTTGCAACTATATTACAGCCTTTATTAAATGTAATGTGAATGTTAAAGGACAGTGAACTGTGCATTTCATCGAGGAATCTGTGCATTTTGGATTTGGTGGAGGAAGGTGAGCGCAGTGCAGTAGGCAGATAATTGGGAGTGATTTCAGACCCTGGTTTTTGTGTTTATCCTTCGCTGTGAGGCAGAGAACATTAGCATGCAAGAGGTGAGACCTTCTGAGAGCCACTTGGAAAATTTTAAGAGCACTGTGTTCAAGGCGGCTCAGTGCAGTTCGATTGAGGAGCACAAGGAGAGAGAGGGAGAGGGAGAGGGCTGCGACTGGTAAAATGTCATCAGACCAGAACACGGTCATCTTTGCAGGAACAGAGGTATCACTTATTACCATTGATCCACGCAGTGTTTCTCTCTTCAGCCTAATACGACAAAGTGAGTGGCTTCATTTGCAAGTCAAGGCAAAGACCAACCAACATCTCAGCCGAAACACTTACTCTGCTTAATTCAGTGTGAAATTGCAGTCGTGTGGACACGCAGACACAGACACGCACACACAGAATCACAAGTCCATGCCTGTTTGTAAGCCACGTGAACACAAGTAAGTGGCTGAGTGAATTCATTGTTTGTAATTAGCAGCGAAGAGAGCTAACGCATTTCCTCCATGTGTGACCTGAGAGCAGAAAGGAGCTCTCTGGTTGCGCCACGCTGGGCGCAATCGCATGTCTGTCAGTAGCCCTGTGTGTTAATGTGTTTCTCATTCAGTAATTTGTTCTCCATTAATGTCCTGAAATCATTACATGGAACCAGTTTCCCATTAACTCAGCCTACAAACAAGAAGTAATGGAAACAGAAAGAAATAAAATTAAAATTTCTCCTTTCTTTCTCCCTTCTATTAGTCTGGAGCGTTCAAGCGAAACTTCAGCTCGCCAATGCTTGTCAATGACCAACTGGCTGTCGTCAAGGAAATACAACCAAGCCAAGGTGAGAATACTTTGTGTGCGTGTGCGAGTGTGTGCGTGTGTGTGTGTGTGTTTGTGTGTGAGTGAGTGCACATGTGCATTGGTTTGTTTGTGTCCCCGTGCTTCTGTTTCCGTCGTGTTGCTCTTGTCTCGCCATTTGGTTTATTTTGATTGATTTTTTTTTTTTTGTGTGTGTGTGTGTGTGTGCTTGTGCGTGTACTGTAATAAAACCAGAACTGTCTTCATCTCACCTGACACCCGAGGAACGTGAAGTGGAAAAAGATAAAGAGGAAGAACAAATTCAGCTTCTCTTGGAGGCTGATGGACGGTCTGCACCCTGTGAAAGTATGTGAATAAATATTTATAAGTTCTAATGTTTATGTTTTGATATCTTTGTTTATGATTTGTACTGTATATCCTTGGACCGATGGAGGTTATTAATTTATTGTCTGGCGCTACAGCTTGCATGTTTAAAGCTTTATAAACATTGAAATGCTGCCTATTTTCTGACTGAGCTAAGTCATGACTAACTCTCTGTATCATGACATCCGACTATATTTCACAAAATAGGCAAAAATAATCCTAATTTCGAGCCCTAATTTACTTAATGTTATACATTTATGGCAGCAAGACACCATAATTCTGACATTTCCTTGTCACTTTATTGTGTCTTTGTCATATACCGCTGTTGAATGCTAAAACACACTGGTATAATCTCTATTTTTCAATCAACTTGCCTACATGTATCTGAATTTGTTCTTCCTCGGAATGCGAGCTTGTTTTTCTTCTGCCATCTCCTGCCTTGGTTTTCTTCTGCCATACCTTTGGATGAACATCTGTGTAGGTGACACAGTCCCTCATCTCACATGCTGTATGCCTCGCTGAATCAGGGTTAGCACCTCATGCTGTCACTTCCTTGTACTATCCATGAATCAGGGTACAATTAACCTACAGCTCCGTCCTCACCCTGAGCTCAGCGCCATGACGCCTGGGACTCCGCCAGGCCCAGCTGGCTGCAACGTGCCAAACTCACAATCACAGGTTGCAAAGTGTCCTCATGATTATGCTAACAACAAAAGCCTCGGTAACATACTGAGCTTGTGTTTACATGCATTAATGTCAGGTTGCTAATTTTGTGATGGATTTATCTACAGACCCTGTAATTTCCCATCGAGTTCGTTTTGGCAAAGGAGTTAACTCATATTAAAGCTCATTTATGGGACTGAGAGTCTAATAGCTGCAGCAGTGAAGTAAATAACAGTTCGTGCTCTAAGCTGTAATCTTGCAATGGCAATTAAAATCTGATTACCTAGCAAGAGATTTTGCATAGTGATTTGTTTCTCTATTAAGACAAGAACAGCAGCCGTGGTAGGTTAAAGTTAAGGTTCAAGAGGAATACTGTTGTCCGACTGTGGTTGTCATACAGCTCATCGTGTGTTGAAAGTAGCAAGTCACAAGAGATGAAGGTTAACAAAGGTTTATGTGGAGACAGATATGAAGCCATATCACCGATAGAATTCTCCTTTGTGCAATGAAACAGATTCATTTTATGATTTACCTCACACCCTCGAGTGATTTTATGCTGAGAAGAAAAGGACCCCTTGTTTGGAGCACAAAGAATCTGTTCCAGCCTGTCTCCCAGTCTGTCTCCCGGCCGGTTAGCCTCCTGCATGCTAGTCGCCAGCTTGACTTTGGCTTGCTAGCCACCAGCTTGACTCCCTGTCGACCAGCCTCCAGCTTGTGCTGCAGTCAGGTAGTCTCCCGTCTGCCCCTGATCCCAAGCCAGCGTGACTCCTGTCTGATCCAGACCCTGAGGGCCTTGAGCAGTCCCCTTTCCTGGGGATTCACCCGCTATTTCCAGAAAGTATCAAGGGGTTCAGAGCCCCCTAGAGGCATGGGTCTAAAAAATGTCAATCCCCTAAACTGCCCAGCAACTCAGATCCTCTCCTTTCCGGCACCACGATCAACGCCCAGCTGGACTCTGACATGGACCCGGAGTCGGCTGTCCCCGCCAATGTCTTGTCTGTTCCTGCATCGGGTGTCTGTTGGAGGTCCCAGACGTTTGGTCTGTTCCTGAGTCTGTTCCTGAGTCGACCTTCCCTGCCAACATCAAGCCTGCTTCCCACGCCAACCATCCAGATTATCAGGCTGTCTGCCCAATGCTCCGGTTGCCAGCCTACATTCCATCTGGTTCTCAGCTCAGGACACCAGTGTCCCATTATCCCTCCAGAGGGAATTCATCTTCACCAGCAGCCTCCTGATCTTCATCCAGATGGGATCTGCTGTCGCTGTTGGCCTCCTGCCCGACCTCCAGAGAAGACCTGCCTTTGCCAGTGGCCTCCTGCTTTTCCTCCAGAGGGACCCCACCTTTGTCTTTGGCATCCTGCCTGACCTCCAGAGGGGACCTGCCTCCACAGTCAGTCCTCTGCTCGACCTTCAGAGGGGTCCTGCCTTTGCTGACGCCCACTGGACCGGTTCCATCTGTCCTCCCTGCCTATGGGCCATCTTCAAGAGCGACTGCCTGGCTGAGGTCCTCAGCCATGTTGCTCTCTAGCTATCGGACCATCCTCGAGTTTCCACCTCCAGACTCTCTCCACTCACCCTGCTGAACTTGCTGGACCTTTGTGAAGGAACATGTGGGAGCCGTTCCTTGTCTTTGGGCTGTCTTCTTCCGTCCTTTGGATTTACCATCCGTTCTGTTAGGATTCCTGTTTCAGTCCTGTTTATTTGCCTTGGTCTCCTGCCACTCTCCATCCACCCACCAGATGTCCTCTGACTTTACTCCCTATCCCAGTCATATCCCACTCACCTGTCTCCTATTCACAGGCCCCGGAGCACACCTATTCCCAGTTCCTATTCCCTCATTTTCCCAGGCTTTTCCACCAGCTCTTGCCAGATCGCCTTTGTCTCTGTGTGTTTACCTGTGTGCCTGCTAACTGAGTGTAGTAACCTGACGTCTGTACCTGTCATTCAACATGCCTGCCTATCTGCTTGTCCACCCATCCGTTTGTAAGCCTGCTTTTCCTCAGTTAATTCGACTGAAGTTTCTTCACTGCACCTGCCTGTATATGGGCGTGTGCTGCTGCTTCCAGCGTAACACATGGAGTCTCTAAACACGGCTTTCTACAGATGACTTTTTATAGCAATTAATTGCTTTTGTGTGGAAATACTTCCTTCACTGAAACTGCTAAAAATCAATTTAAAGCATAAACAAGCTTTATCATCAATAAGCACTTACTCTAGTCACACTAAAGACAAGTTACTGCAGAATTCCTGTTTAATTTTTCATCTGTCTGACAAGAACAAGGAGGCACTGACTTCAATATGAAACTGCAAATCACTACGACTTCATCCTTATAGACAGAGACACACATCTGGACTCATCTAGCCCTGCAGAAAAATCATTCCGCCCTCCATTCAACTTGTGTTGAGTTGGATGGGGAAAAAAACGGAGTGGAAAAAAATCTCATTGCTCACTTCAGAAATACTCTGAAAGCACCGAGCATTTCCATCGATATGAAATGTAGCAATGAAGGCTCTCTGAGGATTTCCATATTTTAAATCTCTCCTCTTATTCCGTTTCTACTCAGCTTCAGACACAGACATATTACAGCTATTAAAACTAAGATACATCTCTTGCCAGTCAGTGAATGTATAAATAAATCCAGGCGTGTAGATTTATTGGAATGTCCTGATGTCTCCTTAACTTTTGGCTGCTGTCTTCTCTCAGATCTAAAGTGGGTCACTTTGGTCCAGGACTGACTGTGTTACTACAGTTATATTTAGACCCTCCGGTTCCTCCAGATTGGCACAGGCTCAATAATCATGATGTACAGTGTAATCTCAGTGTATAGCCATAAGTTTAGTGTGTGTGCGTGGAGCTGTGTCTTGTGCGTGCACAATTTACATGTGTGTTTGTAAATAAAGTGAATATAAGTGCGTGTGTGTATGTGTGCCTTAGTCTTATGAATGTGTGTGTGTGTGTGTGTGTATGTGTATGTGTGGTTTCAGAGGCTCCGCGGACGCGTGTAGACCCCGTGTATGCCGCCTTGCGCTACGGGACATCCTTGGCACAGATGAGCCGCTCCAGTTTTGGCAGTTTGTCAGAGTCACCAACGCGCAGCCTGGTATGACATCTTCACCCTGCGGGTGGGGGTAGAGGACAGTTGGACCAGTTGTGTCAATAAGATACGCGATGTTTTTACAACATGGTCCATTGGGCAACTCACTGGTAACATATAGATACCATGGATACCATAGCACAGAGTTTGAGTTCACCAAAATGCTCCCTCGTTTGTAGTTTATGTGAAATCAGCTTCAAATCATTTAGCATTACTTAGCATTTAACTTTAAATTTATACCTAAATTTAATAAGCTACACCACCATGCATCACACGGTGGGGTTGGGTGTCCTCAGAAGTGTGTGCTGTTGCACCACACACATCAGTGATGCCACAGCATCCTGATGAGTAGGGTACACCTGTGCTTCACTGCAACAAGATGAAAAGTGAAGCCAGGTCAGCAAAAGCAAGATTTTTAAGGGGGGGTTATAAGTCCCTCTTTAAAACTCCTTCGAAGTTTCCTCTCTTTTGAGGTCATGCTAGTCCCCTGCTGAAATCCACCTTATTTAAATCCACCCTGCACATTTGGTTGATATAATTGAGCACCAAGGCATCATCTATCGGGAGCTTAATGGATGACGCTGGACTCTATGTTCTTGTCATTAAACATGTAGTTGAAGCCGTGTGCAAATCTTCCTACACCACACAAACCTGTTTCCACACTTGAACAAACAGTACATACATGTACGCAGGTCAGAGCAGGAATAGTTTTATGCATCCTCTTTGACATCCTGTTGCTAACATTTAATTTTTCCTTTTTTTTTTTTTTTTCTTCTTTGATAAGGGGGAGGGAGGTGAGGAGAGGCAGCAGAGACAGTGCAGCATGGAGGAAGAGATAACTCAGGAGACAGGGGGTAATCACTGCTGTGTGTCTGTGTCTCCATGTGTGTGGATATACATATGTGCTCTATGTCCATGCTTATGTGTGACTATGCGTATGTTTTCCTGTTTCCGTTAGCACGTCTGTCCGCGTGTGAGAGATTTTACCGTGTCTGCTTGTGGGAAAAAAAAAAAAAATGACATGCCTGTTTCCATATATGTGAGTGCGTGGAGGCACCTTCTAAGAAAATTTCTCACCACCTCCAGACCCCCCTGTCCCTGACGCTGAGATGGAGAAGGAGGAGGAAGAGAGCAGCGGCCAGGCTCAGACTCCTGCAGAGGAGAGCAATGTGAAGGTACCGCTCTGTTTAATCCGCCCGTGTAGACTGTCACCCCTTGTTGTTTTCCTCCTCCAGTGTGTATTTCTGTCTCACTACCTCCCCTCCCTGCTTCACCCTGTGTCCAGGTGCCCAAGCGCATTGAAGTTCACTCCATCCACACCTATGTAGCACTCTACAAGTTTCTGCCTCAGGAACCGAATGACCTGGAACTACAGTGAGTAAAAGCCAAGCAGACTGCCTACGTGCAAGCATTTCCATAGGTGTGTGTGCAGGAGTGCTTTTGTGGTATTGTGTTTTTTAGCATCGTGTGTGTGAGCTTTGTGTGTTTTTTTTTGTTTTTTTTTGTCCCTCCCTGTGTTTTTGCCTCGACTGTTGATCCTGGAGGATGAAAATGTCCCCACCATCTGCAGAGGACTGTGCCGGGGCGCCCTGAAGGACGACTAATTATAAACTCAGAGCCCATAACTGCCCCCACGTAGAGCTAGCGACTGAGCTGTGTTCCCAGCAGGGGCAGCGGATAAAGACGCTGAACAACTGAGAGATGAAAGGGCGGACAGACATGAGGGGAAGAACGGCACAGAACTGAAGGTTTTCGTAGACAGAGAGTGTAAGAGGAAGGAGGGACCGTGCGGAGAAAGCAAAGTGCAAATATAGAAGTCAAAGCTCTATAGGATGAAGGAGGAAAGAGAAGAGAGGGAGGTCACAGCAGTTAAATGAGGGCAGTGTGTGTGTGTGTGTGCGTGTGTGTGTGTGTGGGGAGAGTTAGGGGACAGCTTTCACAAAGGTAAATCCATGGGACTGTTTTGAGCCATCTGTGCTGTGGCTCTGTGTTTGTGTGTGTGTGTGGGTGTGTGTGTGTGCACAATATATGTGAACTAATGAAAGTATAATGTGTCTGCTCTCTGTGTGAGCTGCACAAGATAAAAACTGCAATATTTTGAACAGAGGTCAAGAACAGACAGTACAGAATCATCTTCAAAGACAATGATCTTTACTGAAAAAAGAAAACAGCAGAAAAAACAACAGGTAAAACTCTGGATACCTTATTTCTTCATACGCAGAATTAATAGACTCACATAAAATATGAGCGCTGTAGTTATTTGAATTTAAAAGCCCTGCACCACCCACACAGGTGTTTTCAGTTACTGTGTTTCCAGAGCTGGTGGTTGTAATTGAGGTCACCAAAACTCCAGTGCTGTGTGTGAAATCATGCTTTATTTGCTCTACAGTACACTACATTTATCCTCCGCCATCGGACTGGAGTGCTGGAATTTATGCACCACTCTCTGCTAACAATCCCACAATGCAAGTCTTTGCACATTTATCAGGCAACACCACAGCTGTCGGTGATGACACAAAACAACCATGATTGACACTTTATTGCTCACTATAGAGTAGCCTGATGAGTGTCTGTTATATATGGAGAAGTGAATGAGTGAACAAGCGAGTGATTTCAGACACAGACTCTGTGCTGATAATAGTGATAATGGTGTGAGTTGGTGTTGTTAGACCTGGAGAGGCAATGTAAGTTCAAAGACCTGATTTTACAGCTGGTGTGCAGTTGTGCACGATAAACCCCTTTTTTCACATAAAACATTTTGGCTTGTCATAGCAGGAAATGCAGAGCTGTAACTAAATCATATTAAAAAATAACTGGATCCCATGTAGGTGAGTTAGTATTGTGCATTCTCCATAATTAACCTTTCTTTGTGTTACAAATTAAAATGTGTTTGTGCATGTGTGTGTGCGCGTGCAACTTGCAGTTTGAAGGTGAAGTAAAATGAGCTCAGTTTAGATTTATTCTATTGGATCAAGAAGCATCCATACCTCTCACAGGAAGGATGCTGAGGGTTTAATACTTTCTTGTGTAGTATTTTCACACACACACACAAGAAATAAAAAACAATTAAATTGTTCCTGGTGCCAAGGCTGTAGTTGCACAATGTGAAAACGGTGACAATTAAAATCTATAATTTGCAGCATGTTGTTGAGTTAGACGCACCTTCCATCTGTGGAGGATTATAAAGGTGTATTTTCCTGCCATTGAACAAAGCCCCTGGTCCCAGAGACATCAGTTAAACGAGGCTGATCCCGCTGTTCAAAATTCAACATAAACCTTCAAAATGCATGGAGACACTTACAGAGGGCACAGAGTTTGTCTAGCTCAGGGTGAGAAAAAAAGAAAGAAAGAAAAAAAGTGCATTTAAGTTTTACGCTGTTCTCCTGGGAGAAACCTCAGTGAGCAGACTAATTGTCCCAGTATCACCTGAGATATATGGGTCTCACCCTCGTTGGTAAGTCTACTTAAGTATGTGCAAACTGAAGTGTGTGTGTGTGTGTGTGTGTGTGTGTTTGTGGGCGATGATCATATAGGGCAGTAGTGAGAACAGGCACCCAGGAGGCGCAATGTACAGAAGTGCAACTGGGACAGCAGTTTCTCCCTGTGTATCTAGGACACTGTGTGTGTGTGTGTGTGGAAACATCTCATCAAAAACTGCTAGCTTGATTAGCATGCAGGCCAGGTTGGCTACAGATCAGGTCCTGCCTTCACCGCTGCAGCGAGCGCTACCGAGTCATATTTCATGTAGACCTCATGACTTTGGTGTCAGCTGCTCTGTCACCTCCACAGAGGGACACGAACAAAGGCTCATCCACATATTATCCTCCACAGCTTTGTAACCGTGGTGACTACCACTTCCTCTGGCAGTTTGATAACATTATCTTTTGTGCTCAAACTCAACTCTCTCTCTCTCTCTCTCTCTCTCTTTCTCTCTCTCTCTCCCCCTTTTTTTTCTTATTTTGCTCGCCGCTCTCACTCTCTCACCCCCTTCATCTCCCATCACGTATCCCACTCTCGTCTCCCCCGTCCCCTTTTTCCTCTCCACCTCCATCACCTCCCGTTCGTGCTTCCTGTTTTTCATCTTCCCTCTTGTCTTATCTCCTTTAGTCCTGGTGATCGGGTGCAGGTCACTGACGACTCTAATGAGGAGTGGTGGAAGGTGGGTAATAAATCATTTGCAAACATCTGTGCGTGTGTGTGTGTGTGTATTTATTGTGCACGTGTTAATTAAGGCCTTTAAATCAAGCCTTTAATGCACAACACCTGCTCTATTTTTACCTGTCGTAAACATGCAGGCAGCCACAGACAGAAATAGAGCATAATTTCCTCCCAAAATTACCAGAAGAGTTTAACATAATGAACCTGACTAGTGTTGCAGCCTCAAAGATGTCTTTATTGAGTCTGTAATGAGCTTCACTCACTCCCAATGGAAATAAATGTGCATCAGTGTGTGTGTGTGTGTGTGTGTGTGTGTGTGTGTGTGTGTGTGTGTGTGTGTGTGTGTGTGTGTGTGTGTCAGAAAAAGAAAGATGCACCCAGACTTAAATAGTGCAGAGTGTGTGTATCTTCTCACAGTGGACCAGTATTTACTACAACTTCTGAAGTCACTGAACACCTTTAATCAAAACCGCCGTCCTGACGAACCTTTAAATAATGTATAATTTCTGAATCATCTGTTCATTACCAATATATAGTGTGAATCACTTCCATAAACACATCAACACCTGAGGCAGATGGCGATAAACAATGAAATATTGCTGCATATTGAGGTTCGCGCAAACGTCATCTGTTTGCTCCAGAAAGCTAAAGGGGTGTAATCTGCTGCTCCAGTTCTTCTATAAATACGTGCAAAACAAATGTGACATTAAGCTGAAGCAATTTCTTATTTGCATTTTAAAGCATTGATTGGTTTAGTTTGTGTAATTGGAGTTGTTACTCGTGTCTCTGCAGCACACACTGATTTGTAGCTGCACAGACAGAGCCTTATCGGGATGGCAACGAAAATGCATCCTGATTCTACTACTAGACAGCAGATGATAGCAACTCTGAAATTAAGCTCCAAGATGTTCAGCCGCTACAGACTTAGTTATCTCTGTCAAGGCAAAGTTAAATCATACTGGAGGGGGACTGATCGTCAGCCGTTCACAACAAAGCAGCCAAACAACAATTATGAAGGGAACGACACAACCCTTCAGCGTGGCAGCAAGTGACACGGATTCATGTCCATTCTGCAGCATGAAGCAGAAATTCCAAATGTTGGTCCTGTGTTTTCCAGGGAAAGAGCGGCGACAGAGTCGGCTTCTTCCCTGCCAACTTTGTGCAGAGGGTCCGGCCAGGAGAGAGAGTGTGGCGGGTCATCCAGGGCGTCTCCGGCATCCGAGAGAGAGGACACATGGCCGTCAGGGAATCCCAGGTACAGGAGTACCACCATGCAGTTTCGTGACATATTTGGTTTTGTTCTTTTTTTGTGTGTGTGTATTTTTTCTTTCTTCATAAATGTCTATAAGCCTTAAAGGATTATACGGACATTGTGGAAACCATTAGTCGCCTTCCTCAGTATGTGATCATAGGATTCTATTTGTGGTCCTACCCACTTTATCCTGTGTGGTCGCAGGGGCCAGGAGCCTATTCCAGCACACACTGGGAGAGAGGCGGGGTACATCCTGGACAGATCACAATCAGGGTGTGATCAAAGGATTGCCACCAATGTCATCACTGTTTCATCTGATAAGACTTACTGATTTCACCAACATGTTATGTCCCCCGTGCACCCAAGACTTGTGTTTCTCTTTAGCACAGGTTGAAAATCTTGAATAATATTTTTCACTTCAACATTTAACCCTAATTTTGTACTATTGTTAATTTTTTTATAAATGATCTTGAGTGAAATAATCAGTCAACACCATGACTGAGTGTTTCCACCTTGAACTGTAGTGAACCAATGACTCATAAAAACAGATTCAGGCAGCCAGGGTTTCATACAAACACAAGCCTAAGGAGCCAATCCCGTCAACTTGCAGGGACAGGGGGCGGGGCTAAATAAACCTTGTCAGTACAGAGTTAGTACAGCAGCTAACACTGTGTAAGCCACTGGCAGTTACAAGCTAACAAACGACATAAACAAATAACAGATGCTAACTGTGTTAACCGCTCTGATCCGTCTGCTAGTCTCTGGTTCTGGTCTCAACAGACTCCTCATCTGAGTCTGGGTCTGACTGAGGCTCAAACATGTGGCTGAGTCTCTCTGATGTTTCCTCCTCTCACCATCTTGATACTCTCTGCTTTTTCACCTGTCCGCCTGGAGCCAGCAGGTGGTGGGCGGGCCACAAGGCCTGATCCAGATTTCTCATTGTGAAAGTAAACATAGATGAGCTTCAAGCCCTGTTTTTTTCTTTTCTTTTCACTTTTTATGTGGGAAAACCATGTTGAACAAAATATTAATCAGAGTAGAGGATTTTTACAAAGTTTAAAACGTGTCTAGAGAGGAACTTTAATGAAATTGTTATTATCTGCAAATTAACTGTTTTGTTTTTGAAAGTTTAACTGCAACTGACATAACTGCAGCATGTTCATTCATTCTTTGCCAATGTTCACATACATATTGAAGAGAAAGATTAGTCACAACATTTTCTGCAAATTGATATGCCTGTTGCCCCTCCTCCCCACCCCCCCACCCCCACCCCCAATTCCCGCCTATGTTCTTGAAAGTCTATTAATGTGTCACATTCTTCATAAACAATTTCTGACAAATAAAACCTATATTCCGATATAAATCCAGCTCTGTCTCTCCCCTCAGATCTGTGTGGGGAAGCGAGAAGAAGGCGAAGTGTTTCTGAAGCTGAGCAGCGGGAAGAAGAGAGGGCTGGTCCCAGCTGACTCCATAGAGGAGATCTGAGCCTCTGTGTGCACATCCCCATCCTTCCACTTCTACTTCCCCCAGGGACACAGCCATCTTCAAACTATCCCCGCCACCCCTCCTCCGACCTCACCTCGGCAAAAGGACAGCCGCATCCCTCTCCAGCCAGTCCTGACTGACGTAAAACCGAACATAGATAAAACAGGACAGAAAACACTCACTTCTGCAAAGACCTGGAGCCACGGCCCACAATGAACAAGGTTTCCAGTTGAATTGGTTTGCTGTTTGTCTTTAATAAAGTGTACAGTTATAGTCCTGCTCTTAAGAAGGGACTGTTTCTCCGCTGTCTTGCTGTAGGTTTATCTTTTCAAATATAAAAATCAGTGTTTAGTCAGCCAGAGGATGCACACGTCAAAAATGCTTTAAATATATTTCTCGGATTTGCTGTTTCAGATTTAGTTTTTATCAAAAAGACGTTTCCCGACGTGGGAGGAGGCTGTGTCCTGTCATGGGAACATGATGCGTCTGTCAGTGTCCTTTTCTTGTTTCTACCCACTCCGCGTGTCTCATCCCTATATGCTCATGTCAGGATCTCCAGCCTGGGGACGGACTGATATCAGCTTCATGCAAACTGGTACACAACATGAGGCGCTCGCCAAAGACAACCACTGCCAGCCAGAGAAAGCTTTTTNAAAAGTTAAAACTGCAACTGACATGAACTGGCAGCATGTTCATTCATTCTTTGCCAATGTTCACATACATATTGAAGAGAAAGATTAGTCACANCTCCTCCGACCTCACCTCGGCAAAAGGACAGCCGCATCCCTCTCCAGCCAGTCCTGACTGACGTAAAACCGAACATAGATAAAACAGGACAGAAAACACTCACTTCTGCAAAGACCTGGAGCCACGGCCCACAATGAACAAGGTTTCCAGTTGAATTGGTTTGCTGTTTGTCTTTAATAAAGTGTACAGTTATAGTCCTGCTCTTAAGAAGGGACTGTTTCTCCGCTGTCTTGCTGTAGGTTTATCTTTTCAAATATAAAAATCAGTGTTTAGTCAGCCAGAGGATGCACACGTCAAAAATGCTTTAAATATATTTCTCGGATTTGCTGTTTCAGATTTAGTTTTTATCAAAAAGACGTTTCCCGACGTGGGAGGAGGCTGTGTCCTGTCATGGGAACATGATGCGTCTGTCAGTGTCCTTTTCTTGTTTCTACCCACTCCGCGTGTCTCATCCCTATATGCTCATGTCAGGATCTCCAGCCTGGGGACGGACTGATATCAGCTTCATGCAAACTGGTACACAACATGAGGCGCTCGCCAAAGACAACCACTGCCAGCCAGAGAAAGCTTTTTGCCATTCAGACAGACAGGAGAATCAGATGAAAGCAGTACACGCACTATATAAAAAAAAAATAAAAAAAAAAAAAAACCTCTGCAGCGTCAGGCTGAGTTAGAATTGCACTTGCCAAATTGAGAGTGCAGAAATGAAAAGATTTTCAAGGGGAAATTTGAGGCTGTGAGGATGTTTTCACAGGGACTTTTTCCCTGACCTTTTCAGTATAAAATTGCAATGAAAATATGGTACAAAAAAAAAAAATCCATCAGAAACCTTTTAATTTATGACTTTAGGAAAACATAGATCAGCAGACAGACCCCATGTTCCACGGAAACGACAGCTCAACAAATATCCCTTTTCAACTCCCAGAGAGAGACAGGAAATGAAACTTCAGGAATCTCTTTTCTTTTTGGTTAATGACACAATCATAGATGAGTACAATTTGGTGTAATGTATTGTGCCCAAAAGTCAGAAACAGCAGTGATTGTCTGGGGTTTACATTTTGTCGTCTTGCTGTTTTAAACAAAGGTGATGCAGGAGAAATCAAAAGGAAAGGAGATGAAACTTGGGAATCTCTCAAGGAAAACTGGAAGCGTGGTCCTCCCTTGCTTGGCTGGCTGTTGGGAGCACTGAGCAAGAAAAACGGTGTCAACATCTTCCCGAGTATAGCGGTTACAAGCGGCAGGAGCTGTTCTCCTCGCCGGGCATAAAAGGGTTCGGTTCTCTGCAGAGACCTGCTGAAGAGCCGCAGTGGGTGCTGCGCAGCGTTTTAACTTGTTCACCAGAGCTCAAACAGCGGGAAACAAATCATGGCCAGTCTTCCAGAAAAACAACACAACACAATGGGGATCTCTCTGACCATGACAAGGAGTCTTAAGATTCACTGACAGCTCGGAGGAGGACACAGGAAAACAGAGGGAGGAGGAGGAGGAGGTGCAGAGAGAGAGGAGTGACATGAGTGTTATGAGTCAGTGTGGGCATGCAGGTAGTGTTGTACCCATGGGTGCACGAGTCATCATTGATCAAATGTCAGCCTGTCATCTCCTCTCTTGTCCTCTTGTCGTTGATGTGACTGGTCAGTTCTGACATGAAGTAAAGGCTTTTTTTTTTTTCTTTTTTCTTTTCCGTGTATGAAGCTGGTTTAGACTTCTATCGATTCATAAACTCATTACTCACTCAGTAATTTAAAACTCATTTTATTTTTCCAGAGGGAGGATGCACACACCCTGCTTATGGAAGATGACAAACGTTAAGGGAAATGTAGAATCGAAGCAGAGAATGTAACAGTAGAACAATGGGCAGAAAATGATTAAATAATTGAACTGATACGTCGTCTTTCAGAGCACAGACATCTAGCTAATATGATTGTTCTTTAGTCTACATTTCAATATATGTGAAAGCCTTTAGAGACTATGACAAATAAGCTCCTCTTCTTGTAGTAAGGACAATAGCACATTATTTTGTGTCATCTGAATAAGTCGTCCTTTTTGTTGAGGTATCTCCTTCATAGTTATCGCTGTCATATTCAATGATTCTCCACCGTGGAACTCTTCGAAGAGGCCGATGGTTCGTCCTCGTTCTTCGGACGTGAACATCTTGGAGGAAAATCGTGTCAGAACAGAACTGGATCTATGCTTTTATCCATGTAAACTCTTTGTTATCCTGCCTAGTTTTATGTAGCATCACACGTTCACACCTTCGAGATTTCAAGATGTAAAGTATGTGTTTGGATGTTTCCTGAGTCCAGAGTCATTTGGTTGGCCACATACCTCAATAAAACATCTTTACAAAACACTTTTTATGCCCTTTTTATGTATGCAGTCTGGCACAGTGAAGATACTCCTGCGTGTGTGAATGCAGCTGATCACGTAGGTCTGTAGGACAGAATGGCAGGTATCTTTTGGTGTTGGTCTTTAATTCTGCGTCTGTAATCATATTCACAGCCTATTTAGTCCAAAGATAGCAGGGAGCTCCTAAAAAAAGACCATTTTGATGGCAAGTCTCAGTAGTGTCCATGCATAATGCACTTTTCCCTCCATCCACAAACATGCACTGCTGTGCACAGAATGCCAAAATGATGCTCCAAACAGCCACAGTATAAAGAGCACGTAATGGCACTGCTGGAGGGAGAGTAATTCAGGCCTTTTTATTTAATCACACACAGCTACATAAACCAGAGCTACAGTATTGACATTTTTTAGCAAACAACACTCAAATCAAGGAAACCAACACCAATCTGGGGTTTATTTACCAGAAATGAAAATTTAGTCCTTATTTACCAACTCGCAGGTGAAATTTGTTTGTCGGCAAATGAAAGTTAGCTAAGCAGTCGATAGCCGAGCAGCTCAACACTTCTGTCAGTTCTCAAGAGTGTGAGTTATGCTGCATAAGCCGAGAACCCTGAACGAATGCCCTCAAGTTCAAGAGAATACGGACGCCATTAGTTACAATATGCTACTTTTCAAAAGCATACATGCTCCTGTTGATTCTCTTATTGATGTGAATGAATAAAGAGAATCTTTCTTTTTTTTTTTACGTTTGAGTTTATATGAGGGGTGTTCATCACAGAGAGCTCAAGTTTGCATTATAAGGACATTATAAGTCACAGTTGGAGAAGACCTGTCACCGTTGTAATAACTTCTGCTTCAGAGTGTGAACAGATAGCGAATTGTTACCGTGTAAATTACAGCAGTAGCACTCGATCTTTGGGTATAATCATGAATGCTTCCCAAAAAAAATAGCTTTCACACTCTGAACAATCATACACAGCTTCAGAAGACTCGGGTCATGCCACAGCTGCGGATGTTGAATTCGGGGATCGATTTTTGGCCCTTGTTGGGAGAACAAAGCTGCACTTGCTAACTTGCTAATGTTTTGACACTTCAGTGGATAAACAACGGCAGCATTTTCATATTTGGCTTTTTTACTTTTGAGGCCACCTCTACTGGTGCATGTGTTTGATTTTTGGCCATAGATTTGACACCAGCTGATCAAAACAATAGCTGGTGTCTTCATGTAAGGAATCTTCGGTGGGATGATGAAGCAGATGAGTTTCTCCATCTACAGTGGCTGCTACATACTTGTATTAACACTTGACAGTGCTGCCCATCTGCTGTGACTCAGAGCACGGCGAGTCCTTTCAAGCTGATGAAACTTTGCCAGTGTGGGAGAGCGCTGTTGAACAGTCCCATCTTTCTCTCTCCTCTAATCCTCTCATTTCATCTTTCTGGCTCAATCTCCCTCTCTCCCCCTGCCTCCTCCTTACCATCACTTTTACAGACATTGACGCAGACCCTCGCACTCTCCCCTGTCTCTTACTGTCTCTCTTAATCTTCTCAGTGTCTCTTTCTGTCTCTCTCTTCCTATCAGCTCCTGTCACTGCCTTCATGCCCATGTCTCTCTTTCTTGCATCAGTCTGGCTCTGAGTTAAACTAGGGAGAAGCAAACAAGGGAGTGACTGTCTATGTCCTTTCCTCTTCTCTCCAGCTCCTGTTCCGACATTATTTATGATTAAAGTTATTGTAAGGAGGCTCGATCTTCACTCATCTCACCCGATTGGATTATGGAGAAAATTCTGAGGAGGTGGTGAAGCTGCTTAAAGTGAAATTGCCTATTAATAATGCTTCATTTCTGCTGGCTGCTCTGGCTCTGCTTGGCTGTAACATTGACTTTCTAAGGTAGTATAGCAACAGCAGGG